AAGCCCCACTGAGTGGGGATTACCAGGCAGTTCCCACAGTTCCCATGCAGTCCACTCTCAAGTGTCCAGTGATTCCTCAACAAAGATGGCCGCTGCGACACTTCCGGTTCCTGCTCCTTGCGTATGACGTCACTTCCTCTTGACGCGTTTCGTCACATCCGGGACTTAGTCATAAGAGAGATAGACGTCCTGACACCTGGCCACAATAAATACTGCTCCTCCACTAATTGACGATACTCAGATCGCCATATTGGAAAAGGGAAACATCGCCCTTACTAAACTGCACAGCCGCACAGCTTACTCCCAGGAAATAAACTCCCTGTACATACAAGAGCCAGGAACGTATCTAGTGGGATCTCACAGCCACACATCCTCCTAACAGGAAATGGGCTCCCTATACACATAAGAACTGGGAACATATCTAATGGAATCGCATACATTATAGGGGCTGTTTTCATACTCTAGATACAAAAATTACATTAATATATATATTAATTACACAGTAAATAAAATAATAAGTTAAAACCTGAATAAAACAATTAATTAATAACCCTTACTTTCTATATGCCCTAGCAGACATTTATTGTATTATATATCTAATGATAGCTACTCCCCTAGCACCACCTGCTGGTCATAATAAATATTGCTATTTTATAATATCCTACCAAATTACACATACAGTTGATTTTAAGTATCAATTAATTCTTATTTAATCTAAAATAGTTAATACAGCTAGAAGAATATTTATTTCAAGATATTTATATGATTAAGATAAATAAAATTGTAACAAAGACATTTATTAAAAAATTTAAAATTATTAAAAAATTAGAAATAAAACAATTAAGGTCTAAATCCACATTTAATCCTCTAGGTCTAAGTGTTCTTAATTGGAATATCCAAAATGTTTCATTTTGCGATAAAATTTTAATTTTATCACTCCCTCTCCAGTGAGCTTCTATGGAATCAATCCCACAGAATTTCAGGGTTCCTGGATCACAATTATGGATATCCCTAAAATGTCTGGAAAGGCAGTGGTCTTTTTTTACCTTTTTTAATATTGTTCACGTGTTCGCTCAATCTTTTATGAAGGGGTCTTGACGTTCTGCCCACATATTGTAAGTGGCATGGACATTCTAATACGTATGTAACAAATGTCGACTTGCAGGAAATAAACTTCTTAATTTCAAAGCTCTTTCCTGTATTCTGGGAAGTAAATTCTTTAATCGATCTGTTACGAATACCTGTTATTTTACATATGGAACATTTTTTACAGGGGTAAAAACCTTTAAGATCACACATGTTCAACTTCTTTTTCATGGGGGGAGAGATGACATTTTTTACTAAAATATCCCTTAGATTGTTCGTTCTCTTATAAATAAAAGTAGGCTTCTCCGGTATTATCTGGCCCAAGATTCTATCCTTTTTTATGATTGGCCAGTGTTTTTTAATGATAGATTCAATCTCTTTATATTGGCAATTATATCTCGATATAAACGCATAATCCACCCTTTTATTTCTCTCTTTTATTTGTTTAGATTGGTACCTTGTTTCTGATCTCCAATATAATTTTTGCTAATTTCATACCTAATTTTTTCCAACTTCGTGGGATCATATCCTTTTTGGACAAACCTGTCCTTAATTAGCTTGATTGTTCTATATAATCCTTCAGTCTAGAGCAATTACGCATAATTCTAACAAACTGGCTTTTGGGTATACCATTAATCCAGATAGGGTGGTGACAGCTATTCGTTGGTATGAAGCCATTCCTGTCTGTATCCTTGAAATATGTTTTAGTAAAAAGAGAGTCATTATCTTTAAAATAACAGGTATTCGTAACAGATCGATTAAAGAATTTACTTCCCAGAATACAGGAAAGAGCTTTGAAATTAAGAAGTTTATTTCCTGCAAGTCGACATTTGTTACATACGTATTAGAATGTCCATGCCACTTACAATATGTGGGCAGAACGTCAAGACCCCTTCATAAAAGATTGAGCGAACACGTGAACAATATTAAAAAAGGTAAAAAAGACCACTGCCTTTCCAGACATTTTAGGGATATCCATAATTGTGATCCAGGAACCCTGAAATTCTGTGGGATTGATTCCATAGAAGCTCACTGGAGAGGGAGTGATAAAATTAAAATTTTATCGCAAAATGAAACATTTTGGATATTCCAATTAAGAACACTTAGACCTAGAGGATTAAATGTGGATTTAGACCTTAATTGTTTTATTTCTAATTTTTAATAATTTTAAATTTTAATAAATGTCTTTGTTACAATTTTATTTATCTTAATCATATAAATATCTTGAAATAAATATTCTTCTAGCTGTATTAACTATTTTAGATTAAATAAGAATTAATTGATACTTAAAATCAACTGTATGTGTAATTTGGTAGGATATTATAAAATAGCAATATTTATTATGACCAGCAGGTGGTGCTAGGGGAGTAGCTATCATTAGATATATAATACAATAAATGTCTGCTAGGGCATATAGAAAGTAAGGGTTATTAATTAATTGTTTTATTCAGGTTTTAACTTATTATTTTATTTACTGTGTAATTAATATATATATTAATGTAATTTTTGTATCTAGAGTATGAAAACAGCCCCTATAATGTATGCGATTCCATTAGATATGTTCCCAGTTCTTATGTGTATAGGGAGCCCATTTCCTGTTAGGAGGATGTGTGGCTGTGAGATCCCACTAGATACGTTCCTGGCTCTTGTATGTACAGGGAGTTTATTTCCTGGGAGTAAGCTGTGCGGCTGTGCAGTTTAGTAAGGGCGATGTTTCCCTTTTCAATATGGCGATCTGAGTATCGTCAATTAGTGGAGGAGCAGTATTTATTGTGGCCAGGTGTCAGGACGTCTATCTCTCTTATGACTAAGTCCCGGATGTGACGAAACGCGTCAAGAGGAAGTGACGTCATACGCAAGGAGCAGGAACCGGAAGTGTCGCAGCGGCCATCTTTGTTGAGGAATCACTGGACACTTGAGAGTGGACTGCATGGGAACTGTGGGAACTGCCTGGTAATCCCCACTCAGTGGGGCTTGTCCAAAATTGATTATACTATTTATATGCCTATGTTTTCAACTCCTTATACAAGTGGATTCATTAAAACTTGAAACATACATGGAGGTACGTTATATTTTATAAACCTATGGATGTGGAAGGCATGGTAAGATCATCCTAACAGGAAGCGAAGGAGGAGAGGAGGATAAAGCTTCTTTGGAGGATTTCCAGTTATATATATATACAAAAGGCGTGAGTTTCATCTACTGTTGGTAAGGGTATATTGGCCTTACTCACTAGAAGTGTCACGTGTGGGGAGGAATCTCACTTAGTAGATCACTTCATGATTTTATTATTTATGAGCACAAGTGTTTTATTACCTTTCTCTTTTGGAAGGTTCTCACAAGTGTTAAATATATAATTTTTCACTTAAAGGTTGCACAATTGTTTGATACACATTTGTGTGTGCATGTGTTTTATATATATATATATATATATATATATATATATTCATAAATTTTATTATATATTATTTTTTTTTTTTTTTTTTTTTTTTTTTTGTGGTATTACGGTAATGCACTATTGTGAGTTTCTTTTTCTTTGAGGTTCTTCACAACAATCAACACTGCAAGAAATAGACATTTTTTCATTTCTTTTTATTTTATTTTTATTTTTATCTTTATTTTTTAATTTTATATATTTTTTCGTTATTGAGACACTGGACTTTATATTATTGGATTTAAATCACAGAGACACTGGATTTATGATTTTGTAAGAAAGTATATGGGGGAATATTTTGTTGTCACATATATAGTAGATTTATTGAAAGAGGGTAGATTCCTGTTTGGATCTATTGATTTGAGTTTAAGCTTTCAGGGGGTTGAAAGTTTTTTTCCAATTTGGAATTGGTGTAGGAGCAAGGGTGGTTTTGGTTTTACATTATACCTATATCATTTTCACATTATATTTATAAATACTATATAGTTGTATGTATATTGATATCCTGATTTATTGAATTTGAAGAACATGTCAAGCAAAAAAGTTTTGTATAGAATAAATGTAGATTAAAAAGTTGTTGAGTTTTTACACGTCTCCAGGGAAAATTTGCATAAGGAGCACAAAAAAAAAAAAAAAAAAATAGACAGGAATTCTAGCCTTCCCATACTCTAAGGAAATATATTTTTCCATCTGTTTGTATTGCTGTTGGGAGAGTTCTCTTCACTTCCTGACTGATAAAATGTCAGCAGGGAAAAAACTCTCTAAGGTTTGGTTCACACCTACAGCACCTAAAAATGCATGTGTCATGAAAATATATCCAAATATGTTGTTCACATATGTGCACTGCATTGTAAAAATTAAGGCAGGTATGAATTTACATGCATTTATCTGTGTTTTCTGGCCCATTGAAGTCTATGGAAGTGCATTTTTCCTGCATTTTCAACTTCTTGTGGGTGAGCACATGGCAGCTTATTATCCTGTGGTTATAAGCTCCTTTCCTAGATACCTGCTATGTGTTTCAGCTATAATGCACCTGCCATGTGCTCAGCCGCAATGAAGACTGTGACAGTTGATGAGGCAGCTGAAAACAGAGGTGTAAAATTAACCATGCTTCCCCAACTCTATACACAGAAGACCAAGAAGCACATTTCCTCACAAAGTCACTACAAGAAAAGCATCCTTATTGGTTAACAACAAAAATGCACAACACAAGTAAAAACACAAAAATGAACACTAAAAAAAATGCATGACAGCAGAAATGGAGTGATGTGAACAGAGCCCTGAATAACAAATACCTGTCATTGGTTCTAACCCTTGCACACTTTTCAAGAAAATTTGGATGGACATGCACTTTAATGCCATTTCTAATGCATGGTTGTGTTACCTTTCATTCTTCATATGTACAAATGTATTCTAGAAACAAGAAACACACAACTGTATATACAATAAAAATAACTGTAAAGTAGCAAAAGGTTTCTACCTAGGCAGAGGAGTGAATTCACTGATGATGCCTTCAGCTCCAAGGGTTATTCCCTGAACAATAAAAGTGCTTCCCATTCCTTTCCAAAGTGCCCTTGGACCCTATGGATTTAAAAAGATCATTCTTATTGTCAATGAAAATAAAAATAAGCACATATACCAATAATACCATAAGCCTACTATAAAACTAAACACTTTTTAGAAGATCTACAGATATAAATGGCCTTCATTTTTTCAAAAGATCCAAAACTACCTGCTCAAAACAGATTCAGGGACTTTAATCACTTGAAGACCCAGCCTATTCTTATACTTCTCTACATGTTAAAATCAGTATTTTCCAAAAGGAGCCTGGTTGCTCTGAAACACATAGCCACGCCCCCTGACATCATCTGATTTGCGACGTCATCCTGTGGAGACTCCTGTGCTGTCAGCAGTCCCTCTGCATCCTCCTGTGTCTCAACAGACCAAACACATTAAGTAGATGGTGACTCCTTGCAGTCCTGTCTCAGAGTTGATGTGAAATGTGCTTTCCCTCATCATCCTATATTGCCAGTTACATAATTAGCCTGATTGAAAAAAAGACACAAGTCCATCCAGTTCAACCAATAGAAACAATACAATCCTATACCCAAACTTGATCCAGAGGAAAGTAGAAAAAAACCCTCAATTTTACTCCAGCGGAGAAAAAAAAAACTTCAAAAACAAAATTAAAATACAACTGACTAAACATCATTACTGCTTACATTTAATAAATCAACTTGATATAGAGGTGAGCAGACTTCCACAACACCATAACACAACATATAAATCATAAAATGCCAAAAAGCACACAGACTGCAAAACATACCTGAGCCTTTGTAAAGCTATACATGATATTCACAATGCTAAAAGGCGAAAGACGGTAATTCCTTGCATGATAGTTAACCTGTAAGACAAAAAAGTAATTCATTTATAAACTCCAATTACAAGCTAATTCCTTACTGGTGCAATTAAAAGTGGTATTAAAACCAAAAATGTAATATACTGCAGCTCATCAATTCTTAGATATTGTGGCTGCAATAGTTTTTCTTTGTTCACCTTGTGATGAAAACAGTGAGTCATTTTTTTCAACAGAACAAGCTGTTCAGACAATGGAAATATATAGTTTTTTTATTGTAGGCTGTAATTTTTAGGAATAACTCACTGAAATCTCTCCGAACAAGAGTCTAGTAAACATTCCGGATACGATAAAACTTGAAACACGAAATCATAAATTATAATTTAATAAATAATCATAAAAAATAATAATAATATAATTTAATTCAATAATATAATCAAACCAAAAACAATGAAATTTGAAATACAGAGGCAAATTCGCACATCGCTGAGCAAAGTCGCAAAATCGTTTCAGTGTCTGATGACGAATTTCCCCACGAATCATTATCACTCAATTCTGCAAGTGGTTCTGATTTACTATCGCTGTTCTCTAGCTGGTCTAAAACCGCTTTTGACAAAAAGGGAAGCTTTTTGGACGCCATGGACATTTCTCAGTTTCCAGGCAGAAAGAACAGTCAAAATGCAGGCAGGGCACAGGACAAAGCAGTAGGGACAAAATATATGTGAAATGCATTGAAACAGCAATGTTTTACTATATAATAATCATTTTTTAAAAAATGACATTTTTTAAAAAATGTCAAATTTGCCGCCGGTTCCGGCACCTGTACGTCCCGACGTCACAGGGACCGGAACACGGAAGCCGGATGCCGGCATCGGCTGGAGGAGATGGCCGGGGACGCTGCAGGGGACACATCACGGGAGCGAAGGACAAGGTAAGCGCTGCAGGGACTCCCTGAGCAACACCGCATGGTAACCCCCAGGTGTAGCTCGGGGTTATCGCTCTTGGTACTGAAATTTTACTCTGAGCTACACTCGGGAATACCGCCAGGGAGGTTAAAGAAATCTTTCTCCAGTTATATACGATTACATTTGAAATCGGTTTCTACACCTATGTCTGCTGAGCCATGTATACAAAGGATTCTCACTAGGACAATCATGGAGGGACAACATTTAAAATGAGTACTTTAATTCTAGTTTTAAAGGCATAATGTAGCAAGATGTTAGTGAATCCACATCAGTACAGTGCAGAGCTAGGATAGTCCGCACGTACTTGCATGTTTCCTGGTAAACACTAGAGTAATGCATAAGAGGGAACTGAAATGAATTGGCAAACCTTCACTGAAGAGGTATCGCATGTTGTCTGATACATCAAAACATAGTCAGCTGCTTTCCACAAAATGCTACCTTTATTCCATTTGCATAAGCAGTGACCTGTCTAGCAGACATTCATGAAGATTCAGAAGAAATTATCCACTTAGCAAACACTTCATTCAAATCAGCAGTGCTGGAACTGTTTGGTTCACAACGCCCATAATTGATGTACACATGCAAATGAAGAATGACAACTGGGTTCTAAACTCGCTGTTATGAAAATTTGTTTCACTTGTGAAATGTAATAACCATTCTGTCTAAACCCTCAGGTTCGTGCACATGCATCATGCAAAAAAAAAAGAACATGCATTAAAATAATGAGTTAAAGTAGAAGTTCACTTAAAAAAAAAAAAAGCCAATTTTTTTTTTGCAGGTAAAAAAAATGGGCACTTACTCTTTTTTTTTTTTTTGCAGCCTGTAAAGCATTGCACTGGTGCTATACAGGTCTTCTGCAGACTGTCAGTGTAATCTGTGTGCTCGTACCACATACACACAGACCGTTTTCCACTGACAGGATTAATGAACTACCACAGCGCTCAGCAGCACAGTGGTAGTTGATTGAGAACTACAAGCTGACATCCACAAAGGAATCACAGAACACTCACTGTGAATGAATGATGCGGCCGTGTTGATGGAGCCCCGCAAAGTTGCCCTGTTTTCAAAAAGTGCCAGTTAGTATGGGGAACTTCTCCCCATACTGTTGTCACAGGGAGAGAGGGCAGTGGGGCGGTGGCTGCAGCAGTGGGAACATGTTACATGTTCCACCCTAAAAACAGATGCAACACGTTCTAATAGGTGAACTTATCATTTAAGCTAGCCATACACAGATCAATTTTCTCCTTCGGGAGGAGAAAAGGAGAAAGAAAGCAAAAAACCAGTCCATTCCCTCTTCCAAGCTGCACAGCATGTATCGAGGAGTCTCCACTGCCAGCTACTGTATTTAGCAGCTGCGAATGTCTGAATACAGTGGTGCTGCAGAACTGCGACTGCACCTGATAGAACGCAGTCACTGCTCGAATGATAAATTTCCATAAGTTCAGTAAATTTTCAACTTTTGTCAAGCCAAATAGTGCTTGTAGGGTGCATTCATCAAAAATTGGGCAAAAATTGTGCCGCCTATGGCCAGCATACTCTTGATTACAAGAATGTTAGCTGCAAACATTTAGGTAGTCAAAGACAGGCAGATACTCCGACGATGATAGCTAGCAACATCTGCCTACTCTTGAATGACTTGCTAATCTCTGGGACCAGCCATGATTTTTTCCACCCTTTTCGTTTGAAAGAAGATTATGGCACACAGAGTAAATGGTTCATTTTTTTTCACTTCTGATTAGCCAACAGTCAGAAAGATTTATTTTATTTTGTTCTAAAGCTTGGAAACACGTGCTGCCTCTATTCGTGCAAGGTCCATAAAATAAAAATAAAAAAAAACTATATAAATATCAGTCGCATGAACTTCTGGCAAACCTTTAAAAGTATACCCAAAGGCAAATGAAAAAAAAAATAAAAAATTGGATTTTGAAGATTTGAATAGTGAGGGGTTAGAACAATCAGGTTCAGGTTTTAATGCTTTCTGTGTCCCTGTTAGGGACATTTCTCTTACTCTAATGGTCTTGGCCTCCAATGTGATTGGGAATAAAAGTGAGGTTATGTTCAAAAAGTTAACACAAGAACAGGAATAGAGGGCAAAAAAAAACCACAAAACACACAACATTCAGCTTCACTACAATAAATCAATGGTTATAATTACCTGGCACTGACGGCGCAAGACAATGCACGGGTGAGCCAACACATTTTCTGTAAAGAGACTAAGAGAACACAAGATTACCGTAAACAAGCAATAATGGACATGTTCATATTCATATGAAACATTGTAGTAGAATATTGCACTATTTCAGCCATTGATTAAAGTGGTTAATGTAAAAATAAAAAAAATTAAAAAAAAAAAAAAACAAACAGGTTTATACTTACCTGCTGTGTGCAGTGGAATTGCAGTAGGCAGCCCAGAACCTCCTCTTCTCGGGTCCCCCGCCGGTGGTGCTGGCTCCTCCTTCCCGGCGAGTGCCCCCATAGGAAGAAGCTTGCTCTGCTGTCTGTGTCTATAAACATGGACAGCGGAACTTGACCCTGCCTCCCTTCCTTGCGACTGGCTTTGATTGACAGCAGCAGGAGCCAATAGCCCCTGCCTCCTCAGCAAAGCCAGTGAGACCAGGAAGTGAGGGGAGAGAAGAGCTGCAGATAAGCACAGCGCTGGATTGAATGAGGTCTTGGGTAAATAAAAGGTTAAAAGGTGGTGTGGGGGGAACGTGGGGAGCGCCATGGTGAGGTTGATACTGATGCCTAAACATATTTTACCTTAATGCAAGGAATTCATTATAGTAAAAAATATTTAGGTTTATAACTGCTTTAAGTCAGAAAGTTTGGAGTTTCAGCGATACCTTTTATTGGCTGACTTAAAGCAGAGTTCCACTCAAAAAGTGGAAGCTCCGCTTATTTGCCTCCCCCCTACACTACCATATTTGGCACCTTTTTGGGGGGAGGGGGTTTTGACAGGTACCCACTCTTACTTCTGGCTCAGTTCGGCCCCCTCCTCCCTCCCACAGTCTCCTGGGAACTTTCACAGGTCCCAGGAGACTGCCATACCAATTAGGAAGCGCAGAGCGACTCGCACATGAGCAGTGGGCACCAGGCTGTGAAGCCGAAAGCTGTCACAGCCTTGTGCCCACAGTTGAGATGCGATGCCGGCACCATGGAGGAAAGAAGGGGAGAAGGGACTGCATGGGTGAGAACATCGCTGGACTCCGGGACAAGTAAGTGTGTGTTTATTAAAAGTCAGCAGCTACAGTTTTTGTAGCTGCTGACTTTTAATAAACACAAAAAACGTCTGGAACTCCACTTTATGTTATGCAAGCTTTCAGGATCCCTTGATCCCTTCTTTAGGCCTTATATAAATCTAAAGATTGTTCTGAAACCCACAGAGGAACAATAAGGATCACTTTGGAAATGCTATTTGGGTAGTTAACTCCAAGATATGGAGTTCAGGCTCTATTCTCACCTCAAATGAAAGTCCTTTGGATTTAACTTTCCCATAATGGATTATATTTTTATTATCTGGATTACATACAAGCAGGTGCTTTTCCAATTTCACAACAACATCCACCACATACTAAAACTGAAATTAAACCACCAGGGGCAGACTGACCAATCGAGCACTCGGGCACTACCCGAGGGCTCGGGGTCAGTAGGGGGCCCCATGAAATGCCCCTGGTACCTTTTATAGGCTTTTTTGGGTGTGCTTTGAGTGTGGGCAAGGACACAGGGGCCCCATGATCCCCTATTGCCCGGGGGCCCCATGAGTTGTCAGTCCGCCCCTGTAAACCACTCAAACAAACTTCCTGGACACTACAATACAATTTATAGCAGCAAAATTGCAAACATCCATCTACAGAAAACCCTCAGATCATCCCTCACATAACTCAGAAATTATACTTCCATCGTAGACACATACAAGAATCTGTCTTCTAGTCAGCCCGTAAAGCAAACTCAGATCTGCTCAGACACCACAGACAGAAATGCCCAACTCGAATGCTTCAGAAGGGATTTCATAACATGGATATAATCATAGTTACATAATTAGTCTGGCTGAAAAAAAGACAAAAAAAGTCCATCTAGTTCAACCATAACCCCCCCCCCCCCCAAAAAAAAAAAACCAAAACAAAAAGAAAAACCCTTGTAATCCTAAACCCATAGTTGATCCAGAGGAAGACCAAAAAACCCAGCAAAGCATGATACAATTTTCTCCTGCAGGGGAAAAAATTCCTTCCTGATCCCCCAAGAGGCAATTGGATATTCCCTGGATCAACTTTACCTATAAATGTTAGTATCCAGTTATATTCTGTGTATCTAAGAAACAATCCAGGCCTTTTTAAAGCAATCCACTGAGCTGGCCAGAACCAACTCTTTAAAGAGTCTATTACATTTTCACAGCTCTCACTGTGAAGAAACCTTTCCGTGTTTGGAGATTCAATTTCTTTTCCTCCAGACGCAAAGAGTGCCCCTTGTCCTCTGTGATGACCTCAGGGTGAATAACTACACCATTTTCACTATATGAACCACTGATGTATTTATACTGTGTGTATGTATATATATATATATATATATATATATATATATATATATATATATATATATATATATATATATATATATATATATATATATACATACATACATACACACACACACACATCAAAATGTAGTCTGCTACATTTCTTTGGTGATGATATGACTGATATGTGGTCAGTGTGCAAGTTAGAGAGTGCATATATAAGCCATTTATTATCAAATAGTTGTTTGGCTCCTTTTTAAAATCATAATGATAACTGAAATCACCCAAATGGCCATGATCAAAAGTTTACATACCCTGGAATGTTTGGCCTTGGTACAGACACACAAGGTGACACCCACATCTGTGACTTTTTAAATTGCAATTAGTGTCAGTGTATAAATAGTCCATGAGTTTGTTAGCTCTTACGTGGAAGCACTGACTAGGCTAGATATTGAGACATGGGGATCAGAAAAGAACTGTCAAAAGTCCTGCATAACAAGGTAATGGAATGTTATAATGATGGAAAAAGACATAAAAAGATGTCCAAAGCCTTGAATATGCCAATCAGTACTGTTAAATCACTTATTAAGAAGTGGAAAGTTCAGGGATCTCTTGATACCAAGCCAAGGTCAGGTAGACCAAGAAAGATTGCAGCCATAACTGACAGAAGAATTGTCTGGGATTCAAAGAAAAACCCACAGGCAACCTCAAAAGAAATACAGGCTGCTCTGGAAAAAGACAGTGTGGTTGTTTTGAAGGAGCACAATATGATGACACTTAACAAAAATGAGCTGCATGGTCGAGGTGCCAGAAGGAACTCTTTACTGCATCAATGACACAAAAAGGCCTGGTTAGGCAAGGTATTGTCAGGCATATTGTAACTGGGCTTTTTTTGTGGCACAATACAATTTAAGGAGCTTTTAATAAAGCATATTGATAATAATTTGCTTTGATTATGTAAACTTTGGCAAAGGCAACTTAGGGATATATTTGCTGCATTAAAGGGTTATTAAAAAAGTAAATAAAAAAAAAAAAAGATAACAAATATGTCATACTTACCCGCTCTGTGCATTTGTTTTGCAGACAGCAGCTCTGATCCTCCTATTCTTGAGCCCCCCGCCGTCGCTCCTGGCTGCTCCTCCCTGCTAACTGCCTCCCATAGCAAGATCTTTGTTATGGGGGCACTTGTAAGTGCTCGCGCTCAAAAGCCCTGCTCTGTGTGTCCATAGACACACAGAGTGTGGCTAATCCCCACCCCCTGCTCCCTACTCATTGGATGTTATTGACAGGAGTAGAGTCAATGGCTCCTGTCTCCTCCTCTGAGCCAATGAGGAGGGAGAGAGCCGCTGCTCTTGTGTACATCACTGGAATGGAAATCAGGCTCAGATAATTATTGGGGCTGTGGAGTGAACTGCACACAAAAGGTTTTTTACCTTCATGCATAAAATGGGAGAAATCTAATCCTTTTTGAATTAGTCTCACATAACATACAGCTAATTGAACAGCAGAGAACTTAACAATTTTTTTCATCACTGATGCCCTTAACTAAGTTTTCTCTATCTTTGGTTTCTGATCTTTGGTTCCAAATCCCATCTCCTTTGACCCTTTCCATGTTTTTATTTTCTTGATGTACCTTTGTTTTTTTTTTTATCTAAAAAAAGAAACAGATTTTTGAATTTCTACTTCACTCTCACTAAAGGTTTTTTTCCCACATCCGATCTTATAGTAGATCTACCACTCTTATTTCTCCTTCTTGATCTACTTCTTCCCCTTGTAGAGAAGCCAAAAATATGATGTTTCCCAATCTTCTAAATCTCTGCAAGATTTAGACTAGCGCTTTCAGATTTTTTATTATTTTCACAACTTTTTTTAATTAATTCATTATTCAGGGTGCAGCAACATAACTTCCTTTTTTCAAAACGCAATAAAACCCATTTTATGAATCAGAATTGTTTTTATTGTCTTTAATAATGTACGTACATATCTAAAGTTCTGTTTTACACAGTTTTGAAAACCATATCAGGTAGGTGACGCCCCCCATTGTCCATACACTGAATAAGCCGATTTCTGGCGTTTTTCATGACCCTTACCAGCATAGCAGCGGGTATGTTGGCAATTTCTGCGTGGATGTTGGCCTTCAGGTCTTGCAGGGTCCTTGGACGGTTTACATAAACGCAGATTTCAAAAAACCCCACAAAAAAAAAGTCGCAAGGGGCCAAATCGGGGGAGCGGGCTGGCCACTCCAAATCGCCCCTTATTGAGATGAGGCGCTCCGGGAAGTGTTCCCTTAAAACAGCCATTGATGCTCTTGAAGTGTGAGCCGTTGCTCCGTCCTGTTGGAACCAAATGTCCCCTAAGTCCAATTCATCAAGTCGTGGAAAAACAAATTCCTCCAACATGTTCACATACCAGTCTGAATTCACTTATTCAGTGTATGGACAATGGGGGGCGTCACCTACCTGATATGATTTTCAAAACTGTGTAAAACAGAACTTTAGATATGTACTTACATTATTAAAGACAAAAACAATTCTGATTCATAAAATGGGTTTTATTGCATTTTGAAAAAAGGAAGTTATGTTGCTGCACCCTGTATTTACTAAATTCATCCATAAGGATGAGGGTGGGGTGGGGTGGGGGGTGTAAGAAGTAGATAAAAAAGGAAAAAAAACGGCGTAACAGATCTGGTTCAAAAACAGG